TGGTACGCCGAGATAATCAGCCTGCTGGCTGCTCAGCCCTGGCAACTTCCTCTTCGCCAAGATCTCCTCTCACAGGCAGGGGGGAGATATTTCACCCACACCCACAGTTGTGGAGGCTGCACGCCTACCTGCTGAAAGGTCYTGCTTRYYARCCAGGGGCCTTCCCCCGGCAGTGGTGGCAACTATCCAGAACGCGAGCGCCCTCCACTAGAGATTTATATACCTACAAGTGGCACGCTTTCGAGCAGTGGTGTGAGGTTAGGCACATTGTCCCGTTTCAGTGCTCTATGGTGGATGTTTTAACATTCCTTCAGGAGCTGTTGGATAAAGGTCTGGCTTTTTCCACAATTAAAGTCTACTTGGCAGCTATCTCTGCTTGCCATGTGGGTTTTGATGGAGTTACGCCAGGTGCTCATCCTCTAGCAGTACGTTTTCTGAAGGGGTTCCGTAGGCTGCGGCCTGTTATTAAACCCAGTATCCCTACCTGGGATCTTACTGTGGTGCTCGAGGCTCTCTGTGACCCCCCTTTTGAGCCCTTGGAGTCTGTGGATTTGAAGTTTCTTTCATATAAAGTTGTGTTGCTTTTAGCACTAACAACTCTTAAACGGGTCGGGGATCTCCATGCTTTGTCTGTGAATCCCTCCTGTATTCAGTTTTCACCTGATGGGTCCAAGGTGGTTCTGCATCCAAACTCAGCGTATCTCCCTAAAGTGATACCTTCTAACTACAGCTCCATGTCTATTGAGCTTTCTAGTTTTTATCCTCCCCCTTTTGCATCTGAGGAACAGAGGAGGTTACATTCTTTGTGTCCTCTACGTGCACTGCGTATTTACATTGACCGCACACAGGAAGTGAGGTCATGTGATCAGCTGTTTGTGTGTGTTGCTAACCCAATCAGGGGCAGGGCTCTGTCCAGACAGAGACTCTCCCGCTGGATTGTGGAGGCTATCTTGTTAGCTTACAGCAGCGTCTCCCAGTCCCATCTGGTGTGAGAGCTCACTCCACCAGGGGTGTAGCAGAGTCCTGGGCCCTATTTAAAGGGGTACCTGTGAGTGACATCTGTGCTGCGGCCAGTTGGTCTTCACCGCACACATTTGTTCAGTTTTATCGCTTAGATGTGACAGCCCCCTCGGTGGCTCACTCTGTGCTCTCCGCTGGGTCTGATG